TGTAACTATTTATAATGACTAAAATGGACATGATGCTGAAAGTGCTTTTTACTAATCTGTTTGGTAAAAAATAAAACTGTAAAGTGCTTTTATACTTTTCTCCCTAAAAATTATATTAATCTTTGCTTAAAGAAAAGAAAAATTCAAATTGAATAAACTCCAACAAAGATAATTATGTATTGAATAAATTCCAACAAAGATAAAGAGATCACCACGGTAGTAGGTTCATACACCATCCTTGATATTGAATAAGTAATAAACATTTTTTTAAGGTTTGAATTGTAGCAATAAAAACAAATTGAAACTAGGCTTAAATAAATGGAAATAAAGAAAATGTCTAAGAAGATGCATGCATTAAACTTGCAGCAATCTTGTTCCTTAATGTTTCTAGTTCTTGTGCTCCAGGCCCTTGAGTAATGTGATAATATTTGTGAGTAACCCGCATCCACAAGATAATATTTTCCTGTAACCAATAAGATATGTTTAATTATAATATAAATTGAAAGTGAAAAATTTGAAGTTTAATGATATGCACATATTTGAAACATTACCATTTGGGGGTTTGGGAAAATTTAAAGCATTATTTCGTAACGCTGATAAAATAAAAATACTCTTGTATCGTGTGCAGTGCCTTCCCAACCTGCACATGCAAATATGAATTGCATGTCAAAATTACATGCACCCATTATGTTTTGAGTCGGTATTCCTTTCCTGCCAATATATGGTACTTGATCTTCATGAGGTATTGAGGCTTTAACATGTACGCCATCTATAGCACCAATGCAATCCTACAAACAATAAGAGAAACATTTCAATAAATATTACTTTGTTCCTAAAACAAATGATAAATTGTTGTATCTAATTTTTACCTTAAAATGGGGCATATATCTTGAATCTCTCAATATCTCTTCCGGGACTCCCTTAAACTCAGGATCCAATGGTTTTATGATATCAACGGCCATAAGGCATACAATATCAAGTAATTTACCAAAGAAATATTATATTACAAGTATGCAGATTATATAAACATAACATTTGAATGAAGAAGAAGATGAAGAAAAATAAAGCCCATTGACAACCAATGGAGCCCTCGCAAACCAGTAGAAAAATAAAAAAATAAAAAAATAAAAAAGCAAGAGCAGCACGTATATAAAAAGTTTGAGAGATTGAAGAGATTGAAGAATCTACCTTGTGAAAGAGATTGAGAGAGATTGAGAGAATGATTGTCTCCAAACTTGGGAGGCTACGTGAAGATGAACTTTGGTGTCTGTAGATTTGAGAGAAATACGTGAGGATAGATTTCTAACCTAATAAGGGTATTTGTGGAATTGCAAAAATTTCATTAAAGGGAGCGCGCTGCTTCAATTAAAAGCAGCTTTAAAAAGCAACCCCGAGGTTGCTTTTAAAAGTTGCTGTCAAAAGACCATTGCTTTTAAAATAAGCAGGATATTTTATTTTTACCAAACACCTTAAACTGCTTAACTTTAAAGTTAAGCAGGTTTTTGGGGAAAAAAAGCAATCCCAAACGGGGCCTCACTACCATACAAAAACCAATTACAGGTGACATGACAATCTTATCACTCTCTTTATTTTTGGTCGGTTATTATCATATTACTCTGTCAGTTGAGACATGATTTTATTTTCTAATTTGGTGTTAATTTAAACACTTAATTAAGAGATGGAACAAAAACAAGCCTGCTAACGAGCTTAATTGTGCATGAACCAAAATTAACAACATATGTACAAGTCGAATTAAACATCAATAAAGTAATGCATCTTGTCTTATATGCATGCACAAATTATTAACAATTTTCTGAATATTTTATAACAAAGTACAGAGAAATATTACTAAACCAATAACTATAATTACGTGATTTAATTGTGTCGGCCACGACAAATTAATCTTTGCTGTTTTCTTATTAACTGGTTTGCTAATCACTTTAATTTCAGAGGTAACATATGGACGAAATATATAATTCAGCAATTAGCAAATGTAACACGAACAGTCTTGTACAAATATTCTCATTGATTTTGCTCTTGTCCGGATCTGTTTTCTGCAGGCTTTTTCACTGTGGTTGGTTCATCTGGACTTGCACGATAAAGCTACTATTTCTGTTGGCCGGATGATTTGTTTATTTACGACAAATTTCTGAAAGGTTTGAGATATATCATATATAGATATATATATTTTTATATATACATGTCGGTCCTGCCATCTTAGGAGCACATGCAGAGTTCCATCTTTGCGGCCTTCACTGTTCATGCATCACTTTCATCAATCTTGAAAGTATTCATAAATTAATTAACAGTCTTTATTATTTTTTTAATAAAAAATTGTATTTCTTTTTTGTTTTGGGGTTGCAAAAAAATATTGTAATTCATGCAACAGTTACAACAACAATAATGTTTTTGTAATCTCCGAGAAATGAAGTTGTGGAAGCATCTTAAACCACCGTTTTTGTCCCATGTCAAAGCCCTGCTCCCTTTGGCTTTCGATATTGCAATTCTTGTCTTGTCCACCACACCTGAAAGAGAATATTTGAGTTGGGATTAAATTTTCTAGCAATCTTTACTGCAGATTGCATATATTTTTTGCAGGATTGTCTTAGGGATCTTGATTCTCAAGGCTTTAAGTCCATATTTTTCCTCTATGCCAATCAAATCATGAGATGGAAAAACTTGTGTGGGGTTATTTTTGCCATAGAACATTCCAGTTACGAGATGATACGTGATCTACGTGATAATGCTGACTGACAAAACATTCTAATTACAAGATGATACAGGTTCAAAATTGTGGTTAAATCTATTAGATTTATACCGTGTCTTCAATTGTAGAACAATTGATACACCAACACAACACGTGGCTGGGCCTCATTAGCCTAGTAACACCCCCACATAAGGAATCTGGCAGCAGAAATTTGAAGAATTTGAGCCATACAAAACATATTTTTCATTATTTCCTTTTTGTCACTTTTGTCATTTTCAAATATAATTTCTTAAGCAAATGTTGGGTTGTGACCAGAGCTCCAAGAGGTCCATGTCCACGACATTGGATAAACCAAATATCGACGAGGGGGGACGAGGATTGCATTA